CTCTCTGATCAAATTTTTAAAAATAATAACAGGGGGCCAGCAAGGGGCAAAGTAGTTAAGGTGCTGAACACTACCATGCAACTGACCACGGTTCAAGTCCTGGACCTGGTGGTTTGCTTTCTTACGCTCTCTCTCTCTCTCTGGTCAAAGTAAAATGAATGAATAAATAAATAAAATTAAAATGAATTTTTTTAAAAAGCAGACATTGGTTAAATGAACAAATGTATAAACTTGGAATAGTAAATATAAAAATAAATTAAGTAAGTCTTTAAAAAGAATATTCAAAATAGAAATACTTATTACAGGGACCAGCAGTTAGCGTAATGGCTATGTCGCTGGACTCCCATATAGTCCACCACGGTTCGAGTCCCGGAAGACTCACGCCGGGCGCATGTGCGTGCGTGCCCAAGATCCCGAGAGAAGAATAGAGAAGGGATTGTGGCGTGATCATCCCCCCCTAGGGGGTGATTTCTCACTTTCTATCTCTCTGTCTCTCTCTGTCTGTCTGGCGAGTGTACACGCCCTATAGCAAAAACCTCTCCAAAAAAAAAAAAGAAATACTTATTACAAAGTTTATTGTTTTATGTAAAAATACTTAGGGGCCAGCTGGAGGCAAAGTGGTTAAGGTGGCTAGATTCCTCACGGCTGACGGAGCTGTTCAAGTGCAGGACCTGGCTGCATGGAAAACACCCCAACCATGTGTCTGTGTGTCTCCAAACCCAAGACAATGGAGAAGGGAGTGCAGTGTGGTCATTTCCTACTGAGGGTGCTGTCTCACTCTGGTGACATGTGCCCTCTAACAAACTGAAAAATAAAATGAAATGAAGTAAAAAAGTATTGCATTAACTTAATGTCAAATCTTTTTCTTTTCTTTTCTTTTTTCTTTTTTTTTCCTTCAGATTTTTGTCACAAGGTGTGTGTACTTGCCTGACAGAGACAGACAGATAATGAGGTGTGGCATATTTTCATATTCTTTTTTTTTTGATATTTTCATATTCTTACACAACACTAACTCAAGTGGGTTTTATTCTCTCCAAAACTTGATATCCTGAAGAGTACTTTTTTATACACATACTGTAAAATTTATCCCTTTAGACATCAGTTTTTAATACACTCACAAAGTTTTGTAACTACTAGCATCATGAAGTTCCAGAATTCTTTCATCATCCCAATAAAAAACCTCACATGGGGCCAGCAGGTGGCATAGTGGTTAAGGCACTGGACTCCTGTATGGCCCACTGCAGTTTGAGTCCCAGACATGGCAGGCTGAAAATCCACCAGGCACCTGTGCAAGCATGCCCAGAACCCCAAGCAGAGAACAAAGGAGAAGGGACTATGGTATGGTCAATACCCTGGGAGATGATTCCTCACTTTTTCCTCTCTCTGTTTCTTTCTGGTGAGTACACATGCCCTATAGCAAAATCTAAAAAAAAAAAAAAAAAAAAAAAAAAGAGAGAGAGAGAGAGAGAAAAGAATTCTGCATTGGTTATAAGGGGCAAAAAGAAACTTTTGGGATGATGAAAATATTTTATCTAGATCATGGTGGCAATTATATGAGTGTATGCATTTGTTCAAACAGAGAATTATACACTAACGAGATTCATTTCCCTGTATAAAAATCGTATCTCAATAAAATGCAAATCTGAAAGAAGTCTAAACAGTTTTTTAAAAAATATATAAATTCCATAATAAAAAGTACATTCTTAATCCCAGGGAAAAACATCTGACACAAATTTAATTTTAAAAGATATGTACAAAACATACTGTACAATACCATGATCAAAATTACTTTTTTCAAGTACTGTAGAACAAAGACTGGAAGGGAAAAAAACATCCAAAAATTAAAAGTACCTATATTTGGATAGTGACATTATAGGGATTCTTTTTCATCTATTTTTTTTAAAGTTGTGATTCCACAACATTGTCATGATTCTTTAAAATGTATATAACACAAACATATACTTTATAGAGCTAGACGCTAGAATTTGTACCATAAACCCAAAGTGACTCTTTTTGAATGCTCACGACATTTCTCATTAATGTTTTTCAAGTAGGTAAAATAACTATAAAGTTTAAAAAAAGAATTTACTAATACCACACTTACTAATCTGGTTGAATAGCCACAGCTGCATCTTACTTTATACCAAATGGACTGTTTCATCACTTGGTATCCGGGCATCTACTTCTTAATGGTCATTTCTGAAATAAAGGTGCAATTATTAAGAATGTTACTCCTGAATATAACAGCAACAACAATCTTTAAGGACAATGACCAAAATTGTACTGACCAGAGATAACTATCACAACAGTTCGTGAGCAATCCTCTAAAATACAGCATCATTAACAGGGCTGGGGGTGAGGTGAGAACTATAGAAAATAGGCTATCGTTTCAAACGACCAGCCCTCTAAAGTCCTCGATGCCTTCCCCCCAACAGGACTTTATAATTTCTGGACACTATACACAGATGGCACGCTGAACTGCATATTCTGAAAATGATAAATTAATCACTTATTTATTATGTTTGTAGTCGATTTCCCCCTTAGACCTAGAATATAAACCCCAGAAGATTTGTCGGCTTCATTTACTAGTCTCTTTCAAGCTCCTAGCATAATAATTGCTGTGCTGTTTAGTGTTCAGTATACATTTACTTAAAAGATGAATAAACTGACAAATTGCTTCAACTGATAAAATATTCAACTGTATGTAGTTTAAAACAGCAAAGTCTCAGACCAGCAGATGGTGTAATGGTTACATCACTGGACTCTCATACAGTCAACCACAGTTTGAGTTCCGGAACTGGAGGCTTAAAATTCACAGCAGGCGCATGAGCGTGCGTGCCCAAAATCCCAAGAGGAGAAGGGATTGTGATGTGGCCATAACCCCTGAGGGGTGATGGGGTAATTTCTCGCTTTCTGATTCTCTGGGAAGCACAAACACCCTATAGCAAAAATCTCTCTTTATTAAAGAAAAAAAAAAAAAAGGCAAAGACTCAAAATGCCATTTCTTTCACAATTAACATTATTCATGATAATGCCAGCTACATCACTATTATTGCCCCCCCCCCAATAAATACAAAACAAAATTAAAAGACAATGAGTGGTCTGGTCCCATCTTTCAAGGAACCAGATCAAAGACACATGCTACTTAATAATTTTGTCAGTATAGCTTTGGTAAAGACTCGTGGAAGGGGGCCAGCTGGTGGCATGGTGGCTGCAGTGGCTGGATCCCACATGGCTAACTCCTGCATGCTCAAATCCTGAGAGGAAAATGGAGGAGAAGGGACTGTGGCATGGCCACGGCTTTCTTGAGGGTGCTGTCTCACTCGCCCCCATCTCTTACCAACTAGCACACATACTCTATAGCAAATGTTAAAAATACATTTATTTTTAATTCTTATTATTTAAATTTGCTACAGGGCACAAGTGCTGACAAGAGAAAGAGAGGAAGAGAAAGAGAGAGCAAGAGAGAGTGAGAAAGCAAGCCACCAGGCCCGGGACTTGCACTGTGGTCAATCATGTGAGTCAAGCTCCTTAACAAACATGCCACCAGCTAGCCTCATAAGTTGTTGTTTATTTTTTTTAATATTTTAAAAAATTATTTATTTTATTCATTATCTTTTTTTTTAAAAGAATTACTTTATTTAACTTTATTTATTTGTTTATTTGACCAGAGAGGTACACAGAGAGAGAGAGAGAGAGAGAAAGTCATCAGGTCCAGGACGCAAATCATGGTTGGTCGTGTGGGAGTCCAGCACCTTTAACCAACCATGCCAACTGCCGGTCCCTGTTATTATTATTATTTTTAATTTGACCAGAAAGAGAGAAAGAAAAAGGGAAAAAGAGAAAGCAAGCCACCAGGTCCGGGACTTGAACTGTGGTTTGTCATGTGGGAGTCCAACCCCTTAATCACGGAGCCACCTGCTGGCCCCCCAAAGTTTTCTAAAAAAGACTCCTAGAAGGAAAACTGCTGTATATGTAGTTTTGCTAAATATTGCAGATGAGGTGGGTGGTCTTTTTCTTTTTTAAACATGTATGTTTTTTGAAGTGCTTGTCATGGAGACAGCTAAATCAAGTCATTTATAAGGAGTGAAATTTTGCTACCGCAATAGGTCTCAAGAATAACCTTTGAGGAATCCAGTAGTTACCTTCTTCTCATTCTATAAATGACATTCCACAAAATGCTAATCTTTTCGTAAAAAAATCTTAAGACTACTGGGCCAGCAGGCAAGGAAAATAAGGCAGCTGGATTCCAAATGACCAGTTGCATGGCTAGAGTTCCAGACCCAGAACCTTGAAAGTCATGCTAGGTATGTGTATGCGTGCTCAGAGTCCTGAGAGGAGAGTGGTGGAGAAACGAGAGCGGCATGGCCATCCCCCTGGGAGGTGATTTCTTATTTTCTCTCTCTCTGTTGTCACTGACTCTGTTTATGGTGAGCACACATGCCCTATGCTAAACTAAAAATAGAATTTTAAAAACCTAGAATACAAATATAAGTATACATTTGCTTTTCTTTTTTTTCTTCCTTTTTTTTTTAAAAAAAAAAAAGTTTTTTGCCTTACATCATGTGCACTTGCCAGAGAAACAGAGACAGAGATAGTGAAAGGGAAATTGGGAAATCACCCGCTAGGGGAGATAGCCATGCCATAATCCCTTCGCTTCCATTCTTCTCTCAGGATCTTGGGCACATGTGCACAGGTTCCCCAGAGTGATTTTCAAGCCACTGAGTCCAGGACTTGAACCACAGTAGGCTATGTGGCAATCCAGTAACATAACTGCTATGCCATCCCCTAGCCCCCTTTTTCTTCTTTCAAAAAGCATAGACGGGACAGGGAGGTAGTGGTGTTATCTGCTGAAGATATTTTGATCAACTAGATTGGAAAGAAATGTTCACATATTGAAATGTTCACTTTGTAAGTTAAATAATGTGATTGAATATATAAAAAATAAAATAAAAAATTATTATTTAAAAAAAAAGCAGTCATAGAGGCCAGCAGGTGATGTGGTGGTTAAGGCTCTGAACTTCCACAAAGTCAACTGTGGTTTGAGTCCAGGACCTGATGGCTTGCTTGCTTTTTCTCTCTCTCTGGTCAAATCAAATAATAATAATAATAAATAAAATTAAATAAATAATTCTTCCCCCTACTCACCCCCAAAAAAGTAGTCATGGAAGGATAAATCAAAATCATTTTTAACTAGTTATCTATGGAGAAAATAGAAAACAGTGTGAAAGAGACAGGCACAGAAGCTAGACTTTTCAGACTAGACCTTGTTTACAGATTTTACTTTAAAGATATGTTTTTAAATCATTTAAAAATTGTTTAAAATTGTGAAAGGAAAAAAAATCTATAAAATTAAGCAACAAATTCAAACAAACAAACAAAAAACAGACTATACCATACTACACATATAAAGTTATATAGTTATACAGTGTGGCATAGCCACACATAGTATTATTTCAAGGTACTTTTAAAACACAAAATGTTAACAGCACATGCTTATATAGGATGTATCCAAAAGGAAAAAAAGAACTCAAAAAAAAAATCTTAAACTATATTCACAGTAGTAGTGTTACTACAAATGTTAGCAAATAGATAATATTTGTCATCAGAAGCCACGATTTGCAACATGAGAGAAAAAAAGATTTGAAATATAAAATCATGGAAGTAAAAATTCTATAATGTAGGATCAGCAGGTGACATGGACACTAAGGTGCTGGATTCCACATGGCTGACCACACAGTTCAAGTCCCAGACCCAGAAGCTTGAAAATCAAACCAGGCATGTGTTCCCAAAATCCCAAGGGAAGACTGAAGGTGAAGGTGAAAGGATATGGCATGATCATCCCCCAGGGGTGATTTCTCACTCTGTCCTCTCTGCTCAGCAAGCTTATGTGCCCTGAAGCAAAAAAACTAAAAATAAATATTTTTTTAATTCCATAATTTGACGTTAGACTTGGAATGTCAGTAAGGATTCATGATTCATTTTACACTAATAAATACCCATTACTCCTTGTTCCTTGAAAAAGTCTTGAAACAGTTATTACTACACTATAAAACACACTCCTAGTTCACACTGTGGCCTCTAAACAGCATTTCCCACTTAAAGCAACCAAGACTTCTAGATATTTACTGTACTAGGACACAAGCCATCCATGACTACTAGAGTTTTTGGGGAAAAAAATTACACAGAGGCCAAACGGAAGGACCCAAAGAGCTCACTGTCCAAAGGTAAGTCAATTTGAACATCAAAAAAGTAATAATTACTGGGACTAGCAGTTGGCGCAATGGCTATGTCGCTGGACTCCCATGTAGTCAAACACGTTTCGAGTCCTGGACCCGGTGGCTTAAACTCACGCCGGGCACGTGTGCGTGCGTGCCCAAGATCCCGAGAGGAGAATGGAGGAGAAGGGATTGCGGCGTGGCGCGCATCCCCTCTGTGGGGTGAGTTCTCTCTCTCTCTCTCTCTCTCTGTCTGGCGAGCACACGCACCCTATAGCAAAAACCTCTCCAAAATAATAATAATAATAATAATAATAATAATAATAATAATCACTATTGATTGAAACACTAAGTACATAAAAGTTCATAGTCACCTCTGGAAATTGTTTGAGTACTAGTAAATTTATATGAAAATTACCCCAGAGTAATTAATTATTCAACAATAAGTGAGAGGTCTTCTTTATAGAATATCACCATTTGGCAACTCTCAATAAAGTAACACATCTAGAAAAGAATTAACAGTCATTAAAACTTTTAGGTAGGCCAGGCCAGCAGGTGGCATGGTGGTTATGGTGCAGGAATTCCCACATGGCTGGCCATGGTTTGAGTCCCAGACCTGGCAGCTTGCTTTCTCACTCTCCCTCTCTCTGTCTTTCTCTGGCAAAACTCATGTGAAAAATTATATTAACAATAATAATAATAATAAAAAACAATTCTTTAAAAAAAAAAAATTTCAGGTAGGCCAGCAGGTGGTATGACGGTTAAGAAGCTGGACTCCCACATGGTCAATCGCGTTTCGAGTCCCAGACTTGGTGGCTTGCTTTCTCACTTTCCCTCTCTCTCTCTGGTAAGTGGACATTCCCTATAGCAAATTAAAATAATAATCCTAATAAATAAATAATTCTAAAGAAAAAAACAAACCTTTCGGTAAAGGGAAACTTTATAATGAATGATTCAAGCTGACAAAATATGAACCCAGTGGCTAATCTTTTTTTGTGGTTGTTTTTTACTTTGCTATAGTGTGCATGGGCTTCCCAGGAACAGATAGAGAAGGCAAGAGGGGAGATGGAAAGAGAGAAAGGACTCCT